AAAGCATTTGATAAAATTCAACACCCATTTATGATAAAGGTGTTGGAGAGACTGTGGATACAAGGATCATACCTAAATATAATAAAAGCAATATACAGCAAGCCGACAGCTAACATCAAATTGAATGGAGAGAAACTCAAAGCCATTCCACTAAAATCAGGAACGTGACAAGGCTGTCCACTCTCTCCATACCTCTTCAATATAGTGCTTGAAGTTCTAGCAATAGCAATAAGACAACATAAGGAGATCAAGGGGATTCGAATTGAAAAGGATGAAGTTAAACTTCCGTTATTTGCTGACGATATGATAGTGTACATAAGTGACCCCAAAAACTCTACCAAAGAACTCCTACAGCTGATAAACACCTTTAGTAACGTGGCAGGATACAAGATCAACTCCAAAAAATCAGTGGTCCTCCTATACACAAAGGATAAAGAAGCTGAGAGGGAAATCAGAGAAACATCACCTTTCATGATAGCCACAAATAGCATAAAATATCTTGGGGTAACGCTAACCAAGGAAGTGAAAGACCTATTTGACAAGAACTTTAAGTCTTTGAAGAAAGAAATTGAGGAGGATACCAGAAAATGGAAAGATCTCCCTTGTTCTTGGATTGGGAGGATCAACATAGTAAAAATGGCAATTCTACCAAAAGCAATCTATAGATTCAATGCAATCCCCATCAAAATCCCATCAAACTTCTTCACAGACCTTGAGAAAACAATAATCAAGCTTATATGGCAAAACAAAAAACCCAGGATAGCCAAAACAATCTTATACAATAAAGGAACTTCAGGAGGCATTACCATCCCTGACTTCAAACTCTATTACAGACCTACAGTATTGAAAACAGCTTGGTATTGGCATAAGGACAGAGAAATCGACCTTTGGAATCGAATAGAAGACCCGGATATTAACCCACAAACCTATGAGCACCTAATTTTTGACAAGGGAGCTAAAGGTATACAATGGAAGAAGGAAAGCATCTTTAACAAATGGTGCTGGCATAACTGAATGTCAACCTATAGAAGGATGAAAGTAGATCCATACCTATCACCATGCACAAAACTCAAGTCCAAATGGATTAAAGACATCAACATTAGTCCGTCCACTTTGAACCTGATAGAAGAGAAAGTGGGAAGTAGTCTACAAGATATAGGCACAGGAGGCCTCTTCCTAAGCAGAACCCCAGCTGCACAGACAATAAGAGAAACAATAAAGAAATGGGACCTCCTGAAACTGAGAAGCTTCTGTAAAGCAAAGGACACTGTCAGTAAGACAAAAAGGCTGCCTTCTGACTGGGAGAAGATCTTCACCAACCCCTCATCAGACAAAGGTCTGATCTCCAAAATATACAAAGAACTCAAGAAACTAGGCACTAAAACTCTAATTAACCCAATTAAAAAAGGGGTACTGAACTTAACAGAGAATTCACAACAGATGAACTTCGAATGGCCAGAAGACACTTAAGGTCATGCTCAACCTCCTTAGCGATCAGGGAAATGCAAATCAAAACCACTTTGAGATACCATCTTACACCTGTCAGAATAGCTAAAGTCAAAAACACCAATGATAGCCTATGCTGGAGAGGATGTGGGGTGAGGGGAACACTCATCCATTGTTGGTGGGAATGCAAACTTGTGCAGCCACTGTGGAAATCAGTGTGGCGGTTTCTCAGGAAACTGGGAGTCAATCTCCCTCAGGACCCAGCAATTACACTCTTGGGAATATACCCTAGAGATTCCCTAGCATACTACAAAAGCATTTGTTCAACTATGTTCATAGCAGCACTATTTGTAATAGCCAGAACCTGGAAACAGCCTAGGTGCCCCTCAATAGAAGAATGGTTAAAAAAGGTGTGGAACATATACACATTAGTGTTTTACTCAGCGGTAAAAAATAATGACATCTTGAATTTTGCATGCAAATGGATGGACATAGAAAACGCTTTACTGAGCGAGGTAAGCCAGACCCAAAAAGAGGAACACGGTATGTATTCACTCATAAGTGGATTCTAACCATAATTTAAAGGTCTTTGAGCCTATTATTCGTGATCCTAGAGAAGCTAAATAAGAAGACGAACCTGATGAAGATTATTTAGCTATCCGCCAGGAGGTAGGAAATAGTCAAGAGTCCCAGGTAACCTTAGGTGCATGGGGGGGGGGAGGGTGGTTGGAAGCGGAGAGGGTTAGAGAGTAGGGAGTAGGGGAGGAATGGAGAAAGCTCGGTTGACCGGGATGGGGGGAAGGGAGGAAGGATGAATACGGGTTCAGGGAAGAATATATTTCAACTAAGGGAGTCATTTTAGGGTTTATAGGAAACTTGATTATATATGGAATCCCAGGTCCAAGGAGAGATCCCCAGATTGTTCTCTGGACAGAGGAGAGGGGGCCTGAACCGGCCTTGGCCCATAACCATACTGATGAATATTTTGCTTATCACCATAGATTCTTCATCTGGCGATAGATGGCGATACAGACGGAGACCCACATTGGAACACCGGACTGAGCCCCCCAAGGTCCAAATGAGGAGCAGAAGGAAGAAGAAAATGACAAAGGACTGCGAGGGATGCTATCACCCACTGATACAAGGGGTCGAATCTAATGAGAGTTTACCAAGGGCAGTTGGACTGCGACTGAACGAGCACGTGATCCAACCAGATTCTCTGAATGTGGCCGGATTCTCTGGATGTGGCTGGCCCGCAGTCTTTCTGAGAAGCCATTGACAATGACACTGGGACTAGTTTCCTCTGCATATACTGGATTTTTGGGATCCAGTCTGTTTGGATACTCACCTTCCTGGACCTGGAGGGAGGGGGGACGAACTTGAACTTCCCACAGGGCTGGAAACCCTGGCTGCCCTTAGGGACAAAGAGGGAGGAGGAGGGGGGGTGGGAGGGTGTTGGGAAGCGGGGCGTAAATGGAAACTTTTATAATTTAATAAAATTACTTTAAAAAAAAGAAATATCTTCTTGAAATGGAAAGTTCTAGTATCTATAGGGTGGTCCTGGGAAAATCTGATTAAAAGTTGAGAGCTCACATTGTACTACCATCTTATAGCTGGGTGCATTTTGTGTGAGCCAAGAGAAATTATTTGAAGAGCCTTCTATTCAGAGCCCTTGGAACTACATACCAAGTGAGGACACTATGTGAAGAGAAAAGAAAGAGGGAACACTGAAATATTCTAGATAATCCCTGAATTAGACTATGATGAATTATCTGTCCTCCTCCCACAGAGCTGCACTTTCGAGACGATCCCTGAACTAGACTACATTGAAGCATGTCCTCATCCAACAGAGCTGCACACACCACCACACTCTCCCATTTCCCCCAAGTCTGCAGAACAAAAGGAGTCTAACCCTACACAGATGGATCTCAGAGCAGTAGATCCTCCTAACAACAGCCTTTTCTTGGGCCAACAGAACTCCATTCAAGGAAAGCTGGACATCTTGGTATCACCATTGATGAGCTCATTGATTTCTCAAGTTATTCGCCATATACTGATTTTTTGATTGGTCAGTCATGATGGGCCATGGAGTATCTCCCTTCCTGTGTGTGTGTGTGTGTGTGTGTGTGTGTGTGTGTGTGTGTGTGTGT